TCTGGAAAAACGGGGTGATGATTGCTGCTACCGTTGCGCTTATGTACCTGTACCCGGTAAGGCCTTACAAGCGGTCGTTGCTCGTAGCCATTCTCCTGCTGGTCATTTCTTTTGCCATCCCTTTTGCCGTACGGCCGGTGTATATCTTTAATACCAGCAAGCTCATTCATCAGCCGATCAACCTCGATCCTATCTATTACCACGCAGATCCCGTACCGGCTATTGATCTGCGTAAAGGCAAGCATGTGGTAGCGTTTTTCAGTCTTACCTGCCCGCATTGCAAGGACGCGGCTTACCGGATGCAGCTACTCTACAAACAATATCCCGACCTGCCTTTTTACGCCGTGCTGGGTGGCCGTCCCGCTGATCTTGATACCTTTCTTAAAGCATCAAAGCTGACCACCCTGCCCCATACCTTGCTGGAAAATGTACCGGCCTTTGTGAGCATGGCCGGTGAGGTGGTGCCTGCCGTTTACTGGATCAACAACAGCATCGTTGAGCGAAAAAGTTACCTGGCCGAGCTGGAACCCGGCCAATTGAAAAGGTGGCTTTCCGGCGGGATGAAACATTAATTAAAACAACATAACACGCAGAAAGGATAAAATACCGGTAATTTCCTGCCCTCCATAAATACCGCTCCGTATGAATTACCTATTTTTGCGGCGCGGAATTAAATTACCCGGCGTAAATAACAGCTATGCTTCAGACAACGGTTAACGAACAACATAACTTTTCCATTACCCAGGAAGATGGCCAGTGGCTCCTGAATGATGCTCCTGCCAACCTGGATACCTATACCGCCGACAATGGTATATTGAGTGTATTGTACAATGGTAAAAGCTATACGGCAATCGTTGAAAAAACAGACAAGGCTGCCAAGGAAGTGACGATCCGTGTAAACGGTCAGCGCTATAAAGTGGGCATTAAGGAGCCGATCGACCAGCTGCTGGCCAGCATGGGCCTCGACCTGAAAGCCATGCAAAAGATAGAACCGGTGAAAGCGCCGATGCCCGGCATGATCCTGAAAGTGCTGGTAACACCCGGCCAGCAGATCAGCAAGGGCGATGGCCTGCTGGTACTGGAAGCCATGAAAATGGAGAATGTGCTGAAAGCAACCGGCAATGCGACGGTTAAAGATATCAGGGTGCAGGAGCGCACGGCTGTAGAGAAAGGCGCCATTTTGATAGATCTTGAATAATTGCTCATGAGCTTATACCGTTTTTTACTTGTTTCATTAATTGCAGGCTGCGCGGCGTTGAAGGTGCAGGCGCAGCAACTGGCCTATGTATATATACAGGGTGATAAACAAACGCCCTTTTATGTAAAGCTGGAAGGCACGATGATGGAACGCTATGGTAAGAACTATTCGATCCTGCCGCAGATGGCCGCCGGCCCCGCCAATATTGAAATACTCTTCCAGCAAAATACGGTCCCTTCCCAAAAATTTACCATCCTGGTTCCTGAAGGCGGCCAACGTGGTTTCCTGATCACAAAAAAAGAAGGGAAATACGCACTGTACGACTTGCAGCAAAACTTCTACCTGTTTGCAGGTAATAGTGCATCTGATGATCATCTCCCGGCAATGCCCGTGCCTGGCGCAGCAGTAGCAGCCGTTCCGGTGGTGATGGAAGAGGAGGAAGAAGAAGACCTGCCGGATACAGCCAGCGCTATCGTGATTACAAAAGCCACTCCGAAACCGGAACCGGTAAAGAAAGCAGAGCCGGCAAAGAAAAACAAACCTGCCCGCGAAAAGAAGGTGGTGTTTAAACCGGTGGAGAAACCTAAACCGGCGGAAGGTGACGGCCTGAATTTTATTAATAATATCGAGCTCAATAATGAGCGGAATGGTGCCGCAGGAACATCCGTGGAAAAGCCGGCCGGTGCTACAATCGCTGATAATCCGGTAAGGCCTAAAGCTGCCCTGGCCGAAACGTTTCAGAACAGCGACTGCCCTAAGCCTATGGACGAGGCGGTGTTTGAAACCGTGTATAAGACCATGATGCAAAAAGCGACGGATGAAGACCGCATTGATTACCTGAACCACCAGATGGACAAATGTTATCTTACCTGGCATGCCCGCACACTCGGTTCTATGCTTACGGAAGACGCCGCCAAATATACCTTTCTAAAAAAAGTTTATCCCCGTATTACCGACCAGCAATCGTTTCCGCTGCTGGACGATATGCTTAAAAGTGCCGTTTGGAAAACACAATTCCAAC